CACTTGCTATTTAGAAGACACCCAGTTCAAGATAGATGTCCCTTCTGGTGTTCTTTACTTGTTCTTTTCCTGATATGTACACCTGCTTCGTGTGCCCAATACAGGATCGACTCCGCATCAACTCTAAGCCTGCTAAACAAATTTACACCAGTGCCACTACCACGGTCTACCGCTACTTAACCACTGCTGATTCGGTCTGGAGTGGCCCAAATCGGTGACCCCAAGTCCGAAAAAAGAAAAAAGATAAACACACAGCTCAAGCGCTGACTTCCCTTCGCTTTTCGCTTCGCTTTTCGCTTCGCTTTTCGCTTCGCTTTTCGCTTCGCTTTTCGCTTCGCTTTTCGCTTCGCTTTTCGCTCTGCTTTCCTCACACCTTTTTCCCCCTCCCTTCCTTCGTCCAGATGTGCCCAAGCCCGAGGCGCTTGAGCTCCAAGTCCAGCCGGTCCATCAAGCCACCGGAGGCGCGCGACGGGTGCGCCGAGTACTCGAGCGCCGCTTGGGGCTCCAGTCCGGAGACCCTCCTCGGTGCGGACGGGTGGGCTGGGAAGGGTGGTGGATGGGTCGAAAAAAGCTGTGTGGTGGCTTTAATGAGAAGCATTCCAAGGTGTGTTGCTCCAGTTCATATCACCAGTGAGTGATCCATCATGCAGAAATCCTGGAGATTGTGTGTGGTGAGGTGGTGTCATGTCACCACCAGAATATCTTTGGGTGTGAATGATGCTGTCACATCATCGTCAATTCTCTCATGCCCACCATGAGCGCTGGAAGGTTTGCAACCACTCATGCTGCAAGAGATCTGTTTCCACCAAATGTCCGTGTCTATCTTGAAGTTCTTCCAAGGTGGCTAGCTTGCCATTTGCGGCCTTTCGCAAGATCCTTCCCCATGACCACCTCCACCTCTTCTATGCCACCCAAGACTCCCCATCATCGGCAGGACCACGACACCTGGCCCAAAGAGCGTCACCGCCTTCGCGACTTCATGGGGCGCCTGCCAGATCAATTGGTCGATAGAGCGGCTCGCCACTTGGCATTGCGCATCCAGCGCGTCCTCCACTTCGTGCGGTTTGGGCAGAGCTGAGGATGAAAAACGAGGGCATGATCCGATAGGAAAACTAGCACGATTCTTGCGGAGACGCTGTCAATGAGTCATTCATCTTGTGTCGTAGACTCAGAACCGGAGCAAGCCACGAGACCCGCAAGCCACGATCCCCCCCTCTCACCCTGCTTTTCTCATCCCTCTCCTCATGGACAACAATGGCTTCGGACTCCGCCATCTTAGGGGTCTCTCATCGCAAAATTGGCACCACAAAGGTGTGCGGGGTCGAAGCTGTGTTTAAGTCGCTTCGGTGGCTGGTTGTCGGTTGACTCCTGAAGGGGGCTTGGTGACGTGTTCCGAAACCAGTGAGGGCAAATGCCAGTTGTGGGTCCCAAACATGGCCCAGAGCAAGAAAATATGTGTTTCATTTCTTGTACGTCGCAGTATTAGGAGAGGTGAATCTTTCCAGTTTGGGCGGCATGGCAGGTAGGATGGGTATTGAGTGCATACGGAAGCTGCCTCCAAGTGGTTTGTCTGGGTCGGCTGCTCTGAGCTCATCTTCGCTCGGAAAAAGATCGATCTGAGATAGCTGCAGGTTGCGCAACTTCAAGAACACCAGAGCTGTCAAGCAGCTTCAGATAGGAATATAGCTAAGCTTGGCCAATGAAAGGTTTCATAGAACCTAACCTAATGCTAGTGCGACAGTAGCCCTGATTATCAAGGTTGATTGCTTTCCAATGGTAAGAACTTACTGATCAAAACTTGAAGCTCCTCATTCTTCTTAGTAACCATTCTTTCTAGATCATGTCATATCGGAAGTCCCTTCGGTCGACGCGTTCGTCAGCAACCTGTTCCAACCTTTTCAGGGGTCTTTGAGGAGTGCAGTGGAGAAAGACCCATGTGTTTCTTCGAGACCTCGATGCCCAGTTACTAGTAGCGATGCCCTTTGGTACTAGTGGCGTTTTTTTTCCTAGTAGTGCCAGGAGCTACTAGTAGCGTCCTTGCACCCTGTCTGCACCTCGCCCAAGAGATAGAGCTCTTGTTGAAGTCTCTCCCTCAAGCGACGCCTCAGGGGTGAAACCAACTCGAGCACCTGGGCAGTTGCCTCGGGGGGGGCCCTTTGTTGAACAGATGAGAGTGTTCGTCTACCATATGTGTTTCTAATCTCAAAGGTTCACCCCTTCAGTGTTCGGACCGGCCAAAGCAGATAATTGAACGGAAAGCACAAAAGCATTCTTTTTCAAGGATCAGAGGCTACCAATGGCTTAAGTAGTGCAACTACAAAGTGCTGTGAATAAGAATTGTATAGAACTACAAGCTGTGCTTCATATAGCGATGGCATCCCTTGGCAGCATCTTTTGCATCTCACCATTTCACAGCACCTGGTGCTTCACAGAATTCGTAACTGATGCCCACAACCACCTGACTCAGAAAAACATCATCAAGAAAAGATTGGTTTTGGGTTCATTGAACAAGTCCGACTGGGAACAAACGTGGACCTCACTCTCTGATTCAACCTTTCTGGCATGGGTCAAAAAAAGGATCTTCCTGTAGCCCTTCTTCCATTGCGGAGTTTGGACAGCGATAGATGTTTGGAGCTTCTGAAGCACTGGTCCCCATCCAATCAACCTATCTCAACCAGTCTTCAGGCTCCCGGCAAACTGCGCTGCCGCGCCGGAGCGGCTAAGTGTTGCAAGGGCTCCAAGGGCAGAACGGAGAAGCTGCCCATCGCCTCGAGCGATGGGGGAACTCACACAGGCCGCGCAGAGCAGGACTCCTGTAAACCCAAAGAAACCCTAGCTTTGCCAGGCTTGAGGCCCCCAAACAAAACAAAGTGTCTGTCAAATCAACCAAAGTTCCATTTCATGAACTCCCGTTACATTCCCATGGGAACATCTTCTGAAGGGTCAAAATACCGTCGCTTCGAACACTCGAGTGGGTTCTTCAACTTCAGTTCAACATCAGAAACCCAGAAGGGGCACACCCCCTCTCCTGAGAAAAAATAAAGACGAAAGAAACGGGTCACCTGGGACATGAAAAAGGCGGGTCACGACGCGAGCGCCGTCTTTTCCGTCGGCCCCTCGTCCGGCCTCCAAGTAGGATTGGATCGCCGTCTGCGTGGCCGTGCTGGTGACCTTGGCGTCGACGGAGTGGCTCGGTCCCGGTCGAGATGTGGGTCGTCGAGCGAAGCCGACGCCAAGTCAGAGCTCGTTGTTGCCTTGGCAGGCCTTGAAGCAGTCAATCAAGACATGGATGAGTTCATAGAACAAGCATATACCAGTCAACACCAAAAGAATCCGTGTAAACTCATAAGTGGTCTGTCTGTGGATTGGTTTGGGATTTCGGTGGAAGCATGTTTTTGGAAGCACGAAGTACAGGAAGTACAGCGATGGTTCGACTGGGAAGTTGGTTGGACTGGACACTGTCAAAACCGGGTAGGGTAGGGAACAAATGGGAATAGTGAACAGATAGTGAACAGTGCATTCCCCTCCAACAGTGTGCTACCATTGTTTGTTGGCAAAGTCCCAGCCTTGAATCTTGCCAGTTTTGTCATAGTGACATAGTAGTTTGCCAATTTCTATAGATTGTTGTGCAGAAGTGCCACTTCAGAAGTGCTTCCCAGATTCGCACCTAGGCTGCCCAACGTCCCGCAGCAGCACCAAGATCCGCCGACGAGGTCCCGTCTGCAACAAGGGGGGGGGTCATGGGCACTGTTTTGAATGGAGACAAATAGGATCTATGGGATCCGTACGGAGTTGAGCAACCTTGTGCAAAGATCGGAAGAAGTGTCCAGGCTCCTTGCTTTATCACAGGCGTCCCAAACAGGCCGCGTTTCATGCCTCCGAAAACTTGGCATCGGTGATCAGCTTCAGCCTGGCATGTTCGTCGCTGTTCGTTCGTGGCAAAGTAGGGCAAGTCAGTTCGGTGGAACGAATGTTGCCCCACTGACCTTATGTCATAGTGAATGAGGACATCTGGATCGCACCACCTCCAGCACCATGCTCACGACCGCACCCCGCTGCACATGGTGTACATGCGTTCGTCTCCACCAAGATGCCGGTCAATTCTTTCGTCGAAACCAGTGCATTTCCCCAAACCGAGTGCTCTCTGCCCCTTTCGGTAGCCCCTGAAGTAGCCAAGCAAGACCGAACCGAACCGAACCGAGCGATCCGTCGTCGAGTCAGATCCGTCCACCCTTGTCCTTCCATCCCTGAAGAGGGCCCCGGCAGTGCCATCAGCTCGGCTTTCGCGGTGATCTTGCCCCTGCTGTTTGGGGTGGATTCGGAAGGGTCACTGGATTTGGGGGGGGGAGTGCTACAAAAGTGAGGAAGGCATCATTTTACTGCTTGAAAGTGAAACGGTACCTGGGGGTGTTGACCAGGAATAAATGCCATCAAAGTCTTCCTTTCCTATGAGCAATCTACCAATCCGCAAGTCTTTGGGGGTCTGACATGGAGCAATTGTCACGATGCGTGCTGAAGCCCTGGTGAGATCCAGTCTTGCTAAATGTGTAGCTCATGTGACCCACCAGTCAGCAGAAGCACCTTTAAAATGAAGAAAAAAAAGACCCAACAGCAGTGCTGGGTGTCTATCTTGCTTTAGAGCCACTTCATCCACGGTGCCCAAAATGTTCGGGGCATCCGAAATGTCCACGTGAACAAAACTCTACACCTCGACTCCACCCCCACATCCGCAAAAAAAAGGTGCACTGAGAGGCATCTGAGCTTCCCCACGAGTTGGAAGAGGTCGAGGAGACCTCGCGATCCGAAGAGAGGAAGGGCCCCTCTGAGGTGGAGAGTCCAACGAGGGATCCATCGAGGGTCGCGTCCGCGGCCAAAACAGGTTGACGCACAGTGGCCATATCCATCCTCAGTGCCCGGCGGAAGCCCCGCTGGTGCTCACACGGCGGCTCGCAGGGATGCGGACGTCCGGCTTCATCTTGGGCCTCGGCCGGGATGGTCCGGACGCGCTCCGTCCGATGGAAACGCTGACTCGGTCCCTGCGCTAAAGAAAAGACCTGAACGAATGAATGTGTGATGCATGTACCAAAACCTACCGTCTTTCCAGGATCAGCCACCAAATCTCTGCAACTTCCTTCCTTTTGGTACCGAAGGAACCCCATGCCAGCTGAGGCACTGCGGCTTGTCCTCGTCGGGGACCTCAGCAACGCCCGACTTCTGGGATGTCTGATATCAATCGAGGTGTAAAGTGATTGGCCTTCGGTGGCTAAATCCATTTCGAAAGCTTCCATCTTCAAGTCTCTCCGCCTCCTTCACTCTCCTCTCTCTCCTACCTCCCAGCGCCTCAGGCCCCCGGCGGCGAAATCCTCCGGGGAGACGTGCAGCAGAATCAACGCGCTGCTGGCGGCAAAGGTGGCGATCAAGGCCTCGGCGACGGCGGAGCGACGGCAACACTGCCAAAGGGAACGGGAACTCGTGGGCTGAAAATCATCGAGGTACAGATCTCTCCCCAAGGATTTGAGGGTGCTCCAGCTAGCGAGATCTTACCAACGATTTGAACCGCTAGATAGTGGCGCTATTTCATCTGTTCCAGCTGCTAGTTGCTGTTGCTTTAGAGTGCCAACCCCAGATGTTCGATCCCATGATTGGGAGGCCAACACTTCCAACAGGCCTGTTGACTCATGTGCTGGAGCAGCTGAGTGGTCTACGAAAAAAGCAATAAAGACACTGCGCCCCTTTCAGGTGCGCAAGTGTTGTGGACAGAGATTTTGCAAATCGGTCATTCCGTGCGCCTACCATCTGTACAGTGGACAGTGGCTGCAGGAGAGATACGAAGCCTTTCACAGGACATGACCATGAGCGAAGCGGCACACCAAAATCCAGCGTGGTGTGAGAATCGATCATGGTGTGGTGCTCTCGGAAGACCAGCTTTCCCAGTTTCACTGGAACCGGAAAACCAAAAGAGCAACTGAAAGGGGAGTTCAGCACGACAGCAAGGAACCAATGGCTACGCGGCTATGCCAATAGGAAGAGAATTCAACATTCCCATCGACTCTGTTCTTTGTCTCTCTGACCCTAGAACCACTTTGCTCAGTCACGCTCATAGGGACAACAAAACAAACACCTCCTGCTCATGCGCTCTTCTGTCAACATGAGATGGCAAAGTTCTCACTTTCAGAATGTGAGTGAACCTTAAACTCCTGGTAGATCCAAAAAGAAGGTCTTTCCTCGATTAAATGGATTGGAAAAGCATGCATTCAGGGAGTCACTGAAGCGTGGACCTACACTCATCTCCCACCTGCATCCGCCTGCACACCGCTGGGGCTGCCCGACCATCCAAGTCGGATCCCCCAAAGAGCAGCCATGGACATCCACCGTCCAGCCCAGAGGTGCCTGGGGTCTCCCAACAGGGAAAACCAAGTGAATCAAGTTAGCTTTTTGGTGGGCCCGATCAGCCAAGCAAGAGGAACCCCTAGTAGCGTCTTTGCTCCTAGTAGTAATGCCAGGAGCCCCTAGTAGCTTCTTGTTCCTTGTAACGATGCCAGGAATCCCTAGTAGCGTTTCTCACCTGAGAAAAAACTCATTACTCACGCCCGGTCCTCAGAGAACGATGACCGGCTACTCTGAAAGTACTTGACCAACCGCGCTCGCTCGAGCTGGCATGGATCTGAACAAAGATAGTCACTACCTGACCTTGCTACACCGGTTTCGCGAAGGGTTAGGTCCTTGCATAGCACAGTAGTACGATCGAATTTCAAATGACCTCTCTTAAGTATAGGACTTCCTACAAGCAAAGCAGTTTCCAAACCCACTAACAAGCCTCAGAAATCACCACAAAAGAAGACGAAAAACCAAGTGGTGTCCAAGATGTTTTTCTTCCCATGGCTCTACATCCGCAACCCACATGCCGTCGCCCAATGCAAGTCTCCCGACGCGACTTCGCAAAAGGTCAACTCCGGGGTTGTGCGCCGGCGACCTGATGGTTGAATCGACCCTCAAGAGCTTGAGTTGAAAGGAAATTAAACTAAAAGGTCCATAACATCCAAAGCGCATGGCATCAAAAGAGCTGTTGGTTGTGTGTGTTCCTCTCTGCTTTACGTGCTTGCATTGACGAGGCGCATGAAACCTGTAGTGCTGACGTTGGACACTTTTGAGAGAATGGTCAGCAAACCAGGCTGCGGCTAGCGGGTATCTCCTGACCAAACATAATGAGACTTCACTCAGCTTCTCCGGCTAACAGGCGGTTAGCCAGGAAGGAGTGCAATGCCTCTACCATGGTCCTGCCTGCAAGGTGGGCGGGATGGCTGCGCCTGGTGGGCGGGATATCGCAGGAAACCGGTTTCGAACCATGTGGCAAAACGCTGCCGACCTTTTTCTTGAGCCAAACCGTGTTGCCATGTAGGCAAGTGTTCATGAACTCTGATGGTTCACTTCTCGATTTGTGCGCTCAAATGGAAACGCACTCCCCCCTCCAGCCTTTCTGGAGGCAATGGACGATCTTTACGCCCCAGGTCCCTTCACCAGAAAGAAAGTGAACCCAGTCCACTGTCCAGTTCCCGGGACCTCTTCACAACGCCAGTCAGCATCGATCAAGATCGTGCGAGCCGGGGTGGACTCACGAAATGCCACCGTCACCCGCATGATCGAACACAAGGTTGGAGAGCTCCTCCGGGCGGCTTCGATGCTCAGGGTGGAAGCGCTGTACCCTTGGTGCGTGTGTGCGTGTGAGCCACCTGCCACAAGTCAGCGACAAGTAGTCCCACACATCCTTCGATCGTCTCGGAGGATACATGGTCGCCTCCTCGTTGATCAACTCCTGGATCGCATCGAAGTTCTCATCCATCAGCGCAGCCACTGGTAATTGCGGAGCACACCTGCATAGTGACCTCCACCATAGCTCCATGGGGAGTGGAGGATGCGCTACTCATTATATGGATGGCAACGGAACCCCAGGTTGTCACCGATGCCGTGGTTCGATTGATAACCTATCGACCTATCATCCAATTTGATGCGAAACGTGAAACGCGTGCTGAGACGAGTTGCAACGCAGCATTGCATGACGAAGGAGTGTTTTGGTTTCCAAAGTTCCGCCCGTCAAAAATGTTACAGGCGCTCACTGCCTACCGCGAAGCTTCCGATGTAGCATGGAACCGCACTCTGTATTCTCGGCCCCCGCCCTCGCCCCACGAAATCTGCACTTATCGAAGCAAACCCTGCGCCGCCATGAATTCAGAATTGTTTGACAAGCTCGCCGTCGCTTCCTGCAGCAACCCCCGCTCCTGGTACGAGGTCGTTTCTTTTTGGAGTATCGTATTCTTGCTGCGTGGGGGGGGCTGCGCCCGCGCCACGAAATCTGCACTTGTGGCATCAAACCCTGCGCCTGCCCCAAAATCGAATTATATACCCCGTACAATTTCGCTGCGCCCGATGACTGGCGGCTCGGTGCCAGATGGGAGTACTCACAGGGTGTTCAAAAACCGACGACATAGTGTGTCTAGGGCCTAGTGACATAGAAAGCCAAGTGGTGTCGCATGCTTGCAACAACGGTCGTCCTTCCTGAGACATCCGAAAGACTTATAGCATCCTCCTAGTCGTATTCATCCCCTGCGTGACCACTGAATGGTCACATACTGCCCACGGTACCGAGTGCCGTTCCACCGCAATATTGCGCTCTGGGCCTCTCACCCTGACGCGTACTTGACGGTGGCAACTGCATACGCCGGACCTCCCTGCAGGACCTGTCTCGAAGGAGAAGAACACAAACAAAACAACAAGAAAAGAGAAAAAACCGACGAACGTGTGCCTCCGCAGATGTCACGGTGCCAATCGCGCCAAAGTCCTGCTGAAGTTGTTCAGCCGTGATGTCCACCGGTAGCTGCCGCACATGAAGCACCTAAGGTAGACGAAAAGAGTCAAAACAGGAAGACAGTACACGAAGCTCTTTTCCAACCCCCCCTCAGCGTCAAATTCCACCACTCTCCAGCAGATTGGCTGACATCAGCGACCAACGGTTCCACTGTTGCTGACCAATCCCCGGGGGTCAACGAATTAGCGTCTGCTGCCAGCATAGGAAGTTCGACATTCCGCATAGTCTCATTCGCGGTCTCGTCGCCTCCAATGATGTTGGTCCCAAACGTAGTCGGTCCCCCTCCCTTAGGAGGTGCACCCATTCCAGTTCGCATTGGCCAGGGCATCAAACCCGGAGGAGGAAGGCCGGGAAACACGGCCCACTCATCCCAGCATACCATTGTGGTGCCCCAGACGTAGGGATCCCTGCGGCAGTGACCATTCCCTTTTCCAGTGATGTAGTTCCACCCTGATCTTGCCCATGACCTTGTCGACGTTCGGGTCCTTGTACTTGTCCACCGTGTAGTCCACACCCTCCTGGCGCAGTGTCCTGAGCTTGTTGTGGTCCTCCTGATACTGGTGGAATGGGCATCTGGGTAGCATCAACCCCTCCAGCTCCATGGCCCCCATAGTTCGGGTAGGGGCTCCCCATAAAGCCCCACGGCCCCAAAACTCCATCACGAACATGTTGAAGTAGTCCCGTGAAGCCGTTCCCACCTTCTTGTTGTTGAACAGCATCACCTGGTACTGGAGGTAGTGGAAGCATATAGTCCCAGCCGGCAGCGGAGGTACTGGAGGAAAAAGCACTGTGGGTGGCCCCGGACCAGCGGGTTCTGCAGCAGCTGGAGTATTCGCCACTGGAGTTCGGCTCGTCCTCCTCAACGATGGAGTCAGCCTGGTGTTCGGCTCAAGACTCTGAGTCCTCTTTGGAGGATCTCTCTTCAGCTGCTCCTCCTCCAGCAAGGCGTCCAGCTTTCATCAGCTGTCATCTGCGGCGCAGATCGGCCATGGCGGCCAGGCTCCTAATCAAGGGTGGTCTTTCGGCTCATAACCCATGTGGCAAAACGCTGCCGACCTTTTTCTTGAGCCAAACCGTGTTGCCATGTAGGCAAGTGTTCATGAACTCTGATGGTTCACTTCTCGACTTGTGGAAACGCACGAACAAATGGGTTGTGGAGCAACAGGAAGGAACCAAAGGTCCTACACGAACCAGGTGAGAAATGTAAATGTTCGTGCATGGAGCGCCACGTCCAACAGTTTCTGATCGGGCTTCGAGGGTGAAAAATGCAGGACCCGCGTGCAAATATCCATAATTACTATGGCATCTATGGGTGTTTGCTTTTGATTCTACCCCCAGCCTCCGCTGGAAGAATGTCTGTATGAACTCTGGCTTGGTTGCTTCAAATGCTTCAACCCAACCACCACAATCCGCCAGAAATCCACCCAAGCATTACCGGAAATCTCCTCAGTTCCGCCTCCACAACCGCAGCATCTAGGCCCAGTAGCTCCTTGAGCAAGGTCGACTTTCCAGCCTCCATAGGCAAGGGAGTGCGGAGGAGAGGGCGGAAGTTGCTTTGTCAGAGCTCTTGAGAGAAAGCTTTCAAAGTATCAGGTTTTTGTTGGTGTTCCAACCGATGGATCGCGAAAAACCTACCATCTTTCCAGCTGAAACAATATTGTTTTGGCTCTGCAGCGACACTCCGCCTGGGAGCAGCCCTGGGCGCCCAAGGAGAGCAGCGCAGGACGATCACCCGGCAGCGCTAAGAGCGCCTGTGTCACTCCACTGGGTGGAACGCCAAGCTGGAAAGCGGGGCGTTTCAATGAGTTCAATTTCTCGCGACGAATGGAAGTGGAAGAGCTGTGTTGGGTCACAAGCGTGAAAAGCCACTGCAAACGTTGGATGCCAGGGTGTGTACGCAGCAAGATTTGCATCAATGCTTCTTCCACCAGATCAGCGGTGTGGCGCTTGCCCAACGGACTCCGAAAACCGCCGTTGCTGCGTTGTACTGGACTTGTGACCCGCATGGCTAAAACCATTTGAAGACGGTCATAGCAGTGGAGAAACCAGCACAAACATGTTCGGCTACTAACCGTGCAACATGATCCGTCTTTTTTTTGAGCGGGGTCGTCTTTCCAGTGTGAGGCCTCCTGCTTGACAGCCCATCGGAGATGGCCCGAGACACCTCTGATCTTGACAACCTCCTTGCACCCCAACACCTCGAAACTCAAAGCTGAGAAAGCTGAATCCCCATGAATCCCTTTGAAACACCGGACAAGTCCATCCCGGAAACCAACACCTGATCCAAAACACCGAACGTCGCGACCGTTCTCCCGCCCTTTGGTCGGCCGTTTTGGGAGTGAACGCAACGCGGTGCCGGTCATCGGTCGGCCTCGAAGGCTTCCCAATGCACCGTCACGCCACGATCAACTGGCGCCCCAAACCGAGGTTCGGCAACAGCGGGGCGCTTCGGCGCGGTTTCAAACGGAGCGGGAGGTGCTCCGTTCCGTGTTGAGTTGTCTCGAAGGTGTCGGCTGGGAGATGGAGAAGGTTCTTTTCAGGCTCCCGAGTGCAGTTGAGTGTTGGAGATGGAGAGGGGGACCAAAAAAAGGGGAAGGGATAGCAGGGTCTTGCTCTGGCACGGGACGTGCTCCTGGCGAGTTGCCACTCAATCCGGGGTCACGTGTTGCAAAAAACACCAAAATGGGTAGACCAATCAAATAGACTAGTCCGAAGTCCAAAGACTATACTTGGCACAAGTAAAGGAACGTCCTTTTCGGGTCATCTAAAGATGTACTAAAATAGTCTTGGACTCCAGGGGTAATGTTATGATTACGCCACGACTAAATGAAATCTCTTGCTTGTAAACGGTCATGCCGAATGGTATTGCTCAGCATTGCTCCGTGTCACCTTGGTATCACCCACGCCGCCACAGGCCCTTCTGCCAGGCCCGCCCTCCTTCTGCAGCTCCATGTCCCACCTTGAGAGATCATGAAGTCGCCCTCCACCTGGAGCCCGTGGAACTCACTTCAGCCCGTGGAACTGATCTATCTTCAGATGCAAATCTTCAAGAACTGGATGCCGCACTGATTTTCTTCGGGGGTGAATACGGCAGTGAGATTATGACATATATGTTTATTCGACAAGTGTGTACAACTCACGGGGGCTTGCTGAAGAATCCACACAAATCAGGGATATTGTGGGTTCTTTTTAGGAGGAAAGCATCAAAGAAATGAGGTTCACTATACTTGTAATCTATACAAAATCTTTCATCTTGACCCCCAATAACAAACGCATCCACTGCGGTGGTTCTTACAGATTTCGAACAGGGCCACGCCAAAACGATCTATAGACCTTGCATCTGTACCGGTTCGGGACTACAAAAAACAACGGACGGCGCCATCTCTTTCCGCGGCGCCTGTTCCTCCAGCGGACATGGGCACCTGCCAAACTCAACAATCTGTGAGCTGGTTTCAAGCTGAAGGGCTCACCAAGTCGCGGAATGGTGTCTGTCTCACCGGTCAGGAACTTTGATTTTGCAGTGGTCCACTTTGTTCCGGACATGAATGTGGCGGTCAATTTACGTCAAGGACCAACTGCCGCAGGTGCAACACTGCAGAACCGAGTTCACTGCCGCCATCAGATTCCCAAGTTCAGGTCATTTGGTAGTGGGCTACACGCTGCAAGAGAAGCATATATGTCAACAACCATAAGATGAAGAAGAAGACTTCGCTCACACAATCCTGGAAACTGAGCAGAACTGGTCTGCTTAATTGTCAATGTTCTACATAACTGGTCTGAGGAGGCGGAAGGGTGTCTACTAGGAGCAGGGACACTACTAGGGGCTCCTGGCATCGCTACTAGGAGCATTCTTACTACTATGTTCCTTTCATGTCATTTCCTTTGAGGTCAGCCTCAGTCCGGAGAAAGCCAACGGCAGTGGGAGCTCGTTCTCAGCCGCGCATGCCTTGGTGAGCACATGGCACATGTGTTCCCTGTCTCTTGTGAGGATCTTAGGAAATGTTCATGTCTCCTGTGTGTCTCATTTAGGGCCTTGGTAGGCGCAGAATTTGCTAAAAGTCATATAAACAGTTTGCTGAATTGTTGAACACCTCCAAAAATGGAAAGAAAGAGAAATCAGGTTGACAAATCTGTGGTGTTCTTCTAGAGAGAGGTGTGGGCACTAGAATTCTTGGGAAGGTCTTTGGTGGAGTCCCCTCATTTTAACACACCCCCACATGAGCTACCCAAGGGAACCCCGCGGTATTCTTCCCTGATGTGTATCTTTCCCGCTCTGTTTTGGCAGGGTTTGGGGCAAACTTCACACCTGACCACGACAGCAGGACTGACACTTTGGAGACTTCTTTGCATGGAAAACTGCCTTGAGTTCTCTGCACGGAGCAGGTGGGCCGTTGTCTAAATCCCTGCTTGGTGGGACGACATGCTTTCCACACTGAAATGTTGCACATTAGAAGTCTTGACTCAATGCACCTTTGTCGCTGAACATCCTCGAAAACAAGAACTGAGTGGAGTGACGGTGCGTGCGGGTGCGTGCCAGAAGGTGCACGTGAAGAATCCATGGGCGCAAGAACCAGTCAGGTGATGCTCCAAAATGGTCAGAAAATTGAGGGACCCAAAGAGCAAACTCAGACAGAGCTCCATCGCTCCTTTCCCGGAAGCCGCCGCAGGTGCCACACGCGTGTGGCGCGAGGCGACAAAGCCTCTGCAGGTGCCGATAAAACACGCTCGACTGAGCTGACGCACATAGAGTCGAGATCGCTGCTCGACGGGCGTGGATACCAAGGTGGCCTCGGGCGAGACCGCTGAGACTGTCGGATGTCGATTTAGCAAGCATCAAAGAGAAAGTGAACACGGGGTGTTCTAGTGAGGAGTATGGGATTGTTATCTTATTCATATATCAATATACCCTTTGGAAAAGGCCTATAAAGGCCTTGAGAAAAGGGAGACGTAGCTTTTCTATGTGGGTCTGGTTGTTCATCTCGGTCATTCATTCTTGATCCGATTGATTCACTGCCATTCTTGCTTCCAAAGGTTGGCACATTGTGGAACATGCTCAGTGATTGCTCCGTTCGCACTTTTGTCTCGGAAGGCTTTTCCAGAAGTCACCAGGTCAAGTGATTTCATCAGTTGCCTTGGTCTATGTCTCTCGGACCAAGGCAATTCTTAGGCTATGCAAGTGACCCAAACGCGAGGCGCCGCTTCGTTCGGTGGATTTCGACCGGTGGCTGCGACGACTGGGAACCAAACGTGAGGTCCCAAGTGGTCGAAACCGGCGAAGCGTTCGCAGCGGATGTATTTGGACAACGGTCGAAGCGTTCGCTACGTAGTTTTTTTTGACATGATCATGGACGTGGAAGACCACCTGTTTGTAGAGGACGGCTAGAGGCAAGGGGCCATGCCATCCACGTTTGCCCATGGCTATTCCAGGGAGTGTATCCCATCTGATCGCGTGTTCGTCTCACAGATGAGGAGGTGTCCTTTTGTGAGTGTTCCCGGCAGCTTGATGAGGAAAACCCTAGGTCGATCCATCCACCAACAACCTCAAGCTAGAGCAATCTAAGCTCGCACCTGTTTGATACAAACCAAATCATCTTTGGATAGTCTATTGTCAAGATCTATGATCCAGTACCCATCATGTAAGAACATGAACGAGGTGAGAAAACATAGCCTCAGCTGTCATGTCCACCAGCAAAATCTTCCTCCACATGGTCTTCGATTGCTTGGCGTCTTCTCTCCACACCTCCACTCTTCCGAGGGCGCGACCACCAAGAGATCTCGTTCAGTCAAGTCCATGAGTGCCTGTCTCACGGGGCACATGACATTCATCGGCAGGGGGCCGAACCCTCATGGACACGACCACTGTGGTGTACTTCGAAAGTGTGCCCAGTGACGTTGTTTCTCTACGACGCTGTGCACGTGACACAAGTTTCCTGACCACTCCCCGTTGAGTACATGCGATTGATGTCAAAAGAGCTCAAAGATCTCAAAGTCGGTGTACGCAGGCGGACTGATCTAGAGGGAATCTTACTTGATAGGTCATAGTATGTCAGGACCATGTTTTGGGGTGACGGTCAAAGCCCCCAGCTGCCCCAGAAATGTGCCACAGTGATCCTGGCCGAAACTCTCATCTCAGAAACCAGAATGACCTTGTCAATGTCAAAGACTCTCCCCCACCTGCAGCGGTGCTTCAGCACCCTGCGGAGTGAAGCGCTTAAACCTTGGAGCCAGCCAACCCATGACAGATCCCTTTGAAAAGACTTCTGGCGCAAGAATCTATGATCATCTCTCCTCCAGTCGCCATCTCTACTAACATCTATACTAACTGCCATTCTGGAACCCCCACTGACTTCCAGCTTTGAAGAAAAAGACTTCCAGCTGCGAAGACGGTTCGGTCTCTGGCGCAGAGTCGGGCAGTGCCACCAAGAGCTGCGTAAAGAGCCGCAGCCTCGGCGCGCGTAGATCTCAGTGTGGTTGCTGTGTCCCTATCACATCTGCCCTTGTTGGAACCTAATAGTAATGGCCCTCCAACCTAGCAGCGATGGCCTCCAACCAAATAACACCAAATCTGTAACGACTGAAATGGCGATATGGCCACTAAGAGGGTTCCAAGAGGGTTCTTTTCGAAAGCCTAGGAGGGCTTCTTCCGCCAGAAACAATGATGCCTTTTGCTGATTATTGTTCGGGCCCGACTCTAGTTTGATTTACTGTAATTCTTGAGGCCTTGCTGGGCCTTGCTGGGCCTTGCTGGGCCTTGCTGTGTCATTCCCTTTCTCAGCCGTGGCACCGTTGTCGACGCTGGAGCCAATCAATGAAGTATGGCCTGGTATGGCCGTTGTGACGCGAAGCAGACCGGGGCGGGCTGATCTCGGCATCGACCTGGGTGAAGACTCAAGAACCGACCTGAAGACTTCTCAGAGAATTTGGGAAGAAAAACACGAATGAGCACACACCAGCGAAGCAGCACACCACGATTTTGGGACAAAAGAGATTCAAACTCTGCCGCGCTTTGCCAGTGGAGTTCGGACTCAAAGGAAAGGTGCTAACTGACACACACCAGGCATCGTTCGCCGGTGTCCCCGGTGTCAACCGTGAGGATTGTTACGAGATTGTCCATAAAACGATCTCAGGAGAAAGAATAACTAGACAGGTCTCCTCTTCTGACTCTTAGGGAAAGAGGAACCTGCAGAATCGCATTGTCCGGTGGTGAACAAGCCACAAGACAAACGTCTTTCATTTTGAGTAGTGGAACAATCAGAGGTATACTCCGGCCTCTACACATGTGGCCCAAGAAACTGGTCAAGACTTGGCATGTTGGGACGGATTCTCATGCGTGGGGTTCGGTTGAATGAATCGCATGCTGATATTGTACGGCAAACGCCCTCCTACCACGACAAACAGCTAACACTAAATAGCTCCGGCACCAAAATGAAATAGTTCTTTCAAATTAATCCTTGTACCCCTAAGACCTTTTGTTTTGCACCACTTGATCCAACCACAGCACCCAACCAAGCACCCAACCGGAACACCTCCGCCTTCAAAACCTGGCCCCAAAAACAACCACCCCAAACGAGCTCCAACTCCGCTCCGGCCGACGGACGCCTTCCGACCCGATCCGCGGACGCCTTAGGACCCAGATGAGGCCGCGCAAGGGCACCGGCGACTCCGGGGGCCTCGTGGCGGTTTCGGAGTGGAAGACCTGTGGGAGCAGTTCGGTGTTTGGGAATACATGGAGTCACATACTAGAAACCCCTCCTGTGATGGAGGGGAATTTCTGTTGATGGACTTGACGATAGTCTTGTCCTTACAGGTCTATCCATCTTCGAGATGTCCAAAACCCCTTCACCAACGAAAAAAGACGAAGCGCCGGTGGTGGAGCTTTGGCGAAGCATATCTTTCAGAGAAGGAACACTCAAATGGACTGCAGATGTAGTTTTTCAGGGTCGACCTTGGACGACCTACTGGAAGGTTAAGCTACATGGTGGACCAGGGCTCCAGGTATTTTTAATGCCGCGGTATCAGCAAGAGTCAGAAAGAGACTGGCTGACCTGACCTTCCTGCCCTTTGATCCATCCCCATATGATCCTGTGTCAGCCAAACCGCCAAAACGTGCTTGTCGGGAATGCGCTGACCTGCGGTTCCTCCTTCCACTGCGGTTCTTCCAGGAGAACCAAAAATCACGGACAATTCGTGAATTCGATTCGAGGATAAACTGGTTGGCAAGGTCTGCAAGAATCAAACAATCTTTGTGAACTGGGTAGAAGGAGGGCTAGAATGACTTCAAAAGCCATATCCTAGTGCATCAAGATCCAGTCCCAAAAACAGCCCCCCACATTAAACAAAAAAGCACTGAGCAAGTAATTCTTTGAAAGAGTTTACTAGAGTTCACTAGAGTTTAAAACTTACCCAGCAGCCCAACAGAGTCCGGAGCCACCACCCCTTCCACCACTCGTCGTGACATGCTCCGCGCGTCTTTTCTCTCAGAGCTCGCCGTCGTGACTCGACGCTCTCGACACACGACTGCCGTGACAGACAGCACGCTCCTGGCGTCGACCGGTGGACCACTGAAAAGGAACTGTTTTTTGTGTTTTTTTCCTATCAGGGATGTCAACCTTCCATTGTTTGGCGGGGGTTTGGACCCACTGCCATATGGAAACGGAGAGGTTCTGAGCCAATGGATTGGCAATCGACTTCTTTTACTCCAAGGAACACTGGAAAAATAAAGGTAGAAAACCTATGAAAACGTGCCATAAATCTCTTCAGCTAGTCATCGCACTGATGATCGCAGCGCCCTGCCCAAAGCCGTCACCTCGAGGTCCTCCCGCTGCCATGCCGGTGGCAAGCGCTCCATCACCTCCCACAGAGACGAAGCAAATGCGTTGAACGACACGGCGAAGTCATGGACAGGTGGCTGGGCCCCTGGGCCATGCTCAAAATCACCAGGTGATTCAAACAAATCCAGGAAAATCCACCCGCTCCGGGCCCTAAAACGAGCCCTCTTTGGGGCGAGAAAGAAGCTGGTGCGAGCATCGGTGGAGCCAGCCAGTCCCTGCTCCCTGAGGAGGATCCAATTCGACATTGAGACATAGATCCAAGAAGGGGCCCCTTCAGACACGGCGGCTGTATGGGCCTTCTTGTGAATCAAGTGGTATGGGTGCTGAACTTTACAAGAAGAGATCCCTTGACAGGAAGATCTCGGCAAGAAAATGAACAGGCTGCTGTTAAAACGGCCCTTTCTTGCCCTGGCACCGCCACTGAACCCCCTGCACCGCGCCGCCAGGCGCACCTAATGCGCTCCGCCACGGCGCTCCGCACCGGTGGCCTCTACGGACTGAAACTCCACCGGTCGAAAGAGGTAGCCCTGCTGTCGGTACCACCTCACCGTCCTCGCGCTTGTCGCGTGCTCGCGGCGTGGAGTGTCGAGCGGGCGGTTTGGGAGAGGTCGGGACCGCGTGGGAGCGGATGGACCTGTGGGAGTGAGTTGAAGCCAGTAAAGCTACCGAATAAGGAAGATGGGCAGAGAAAATGTTTCATTCATGCCCACATTGAGCCCCAAGCAAGGTCTTTGAGTGGAAGGTCCAGAATGAGAGGTTTCTGAAGGCGCCGACTTTGTCAACATCAAGCCACCAAGCTGCAGGTGCCGGTGTCTATTCCTTTCCCGCGCAGGACCCGAAGGTCTTGCCAATTCATACGCCATGCTGCATGGGAGGAAGACTCATGCGTGAAGATCATGTGATGCAAATGCTTCAAGAACCATTGTTGGGCAGGCCAAAGCTATCCAAAGCTATCCAACCTTGCCAACAGCTTGACAAAGGATCCAGAAGCTCTCGAACCGCCAGTCCTTTCCAGTCCTTCCTTCAGACCCACGGTGGACGTCACGCCAAAGTATTCTTTGACCTCGGCACACCGTACGGCACTGGATCGGTGCTCTTCGATCGACTTTTTCCCATGACAGGAACCTTCCAGTTTGTACCTTGGACCGTCCTTTCAGACATGCCACTTGAGCTCCTGGAAAGAATGTTATCTGAGTCTGAAGTGTTTCACTTTTCAAAGACTGGAAGTGCTACGCTCCCTCCAGACCACTCCACCAAAGAATCATCCGGGTTCGGTGCATAGTAGTCTAAGGTACTGTCATTTTAAGCATTTCAAGCAAGTCACCAGTTCCAGACTTGCCATGATCACGTTTCTCTAGGCCCTAGGCCAAACTTGCAATGTGGAGGGTTTGATATCTTCCCAAACACATTTAGGGCACACTCCAGTTTAGAACCTATCCAAGTGGATGTCACATGTCCATGGCCAACCAAAAAATGGCCTTCGAGTGATCCCCACCTGCCCCCCAAAAAAAGTCTAGAGTCTAGAGACTAACACCTAAAAAGAAAGAACCGCGCACGACCAAGTCCCCGTGTTTTGCACCGCGTCAAGGAAAAAGAACCCACCCCCGGCGCCGCGCCGCTTCCGGGCGCCTTGTCGTGATTGGACACAGCCACTTCCACCTCCAACCTCGCCGGTTGGATGCTCCGAGGATGTCCCGGGGCGCCCGCGGCCTCGCTCACGGCGTGCGCCAACTCGTTGACCTCGGGGACCGACGCGTCGCAGGTCGCGCGCCGCTTTCGCCGGGAGGGCTTCGGACGCTGCAGAAGTTGGGTTCGTGGAAGACACGTTGGAAAGGTGTTCACTGAATGATTCAAGAGTCGTTCCGCGCGTCAAGAGTCGTTCCGCGTGGGTGGCAAATTTGGGGTTCTCTCACGAGCCACCGCCAGTGTCGTGTGCAAGCAGCTGTCAATGTAGGCTACGTCAAGCAGTGTGCTTTGCTGAGACTGCAAGATCTCTTTCAAGAGATGAAAAGCACTGAGATCTATGCCTTACACCAACCATGTGTCCACTGTCTTTGTTAATCTGCGGCAAAAAGACTCTTTAAATGAGAAACAAGCTGTCACGGCCCTGGACTACCGTAGATGTCCTCCTGGAATCGCAAGAAACAAACTTACAAATGCCGGCCCAGTGATAGATGATTGATAAAATTGAGTAGGAATCCATCCAACAAGACTTTGCAATCAATGGCCTACACTACACCCTTGAAGGCACTAAAGATCAAAGGCAAAAAATCAAGCTATTGGCACAACCCAGAAATCTGGTGAACACTTGAACGATCTTGAACGAAACCTCCCAGAACCTTCAGAAGAAACACCAAGAGCCCAAAGCGAACAGAAAACTTCGACAAACATCATGACTGGCTCAAACTGAACAGAAACTCTCAGAACCTGCCTTATCCCCTCGGTTCTCCCCAAGTCAATCCACCCACCCCATCCTGCCACCCCACCATGCACAACTTCCCAGCCACTGCACTTCCAATCCCTTCTACTTCGACCTTCTTGGAACCCCTCCACACCATCCCACTCACCAACCGGTCACACACCGAGCCGAGCGACGCTGTAGGCCACATCCGCACCCACGTTGAAGATCTCGTTGCGCGCGCGGTGCTGCAGCGGTCCCCGCGCCAAGATGGGCGCCACGTCGTCGATGTAACTGAAGGCGCGCAACTGCTCACCGCTCCCGAAGATCGTCCTAAGACGGTGCTTGTCGATGTAACGGTGGCGTCGTCGATGCCCACGGTCGCCGGGAGTGTCGTGCAGGCACCGAAAACGCAGGCACCGGCTCTTTTGAAGACGGGTGGGGGATGGGCTTTGAAGGCTCTTGCTGCGTTCGTTGAGGCAAATGGGGAGTCCAAATATGAGTGAAACAGTTCGGAATGGTTCCGGAGAAACGGAAAGAAAGAGTCGAATCAGGGGAACGCGGACGTCCAACGATGGATCAAAGCGCAGACTGAGAGAGTTCTGGAAGAGATGGGGGAAGTGAGTGATGTGCCAAAACACAAGTTGTTGCCCTGCAAACCTGGCTAATCCATGCTGCCTTTCAACGTTCGTGACTCCAGCATCTCCAGCTAGCAAAATCAAAGTGTTCATGACTGCAATAGCTCCATAGAGACTACCACCCGGTCGCTTTGCCAAGCATCAAGGGTTGTCCATGGAAGATCTGGTTGATGAAGATCCCCACGACGTTGCGGTACTTGTCGAACATGTTCTGTGAGTGGCTGGAAAAAGGGCTCCGATTTAATCTAGGATTTGTTTGTTTTTTGTTGTGATTTTTTTGTTTTTCGTGTTTCGTGGCAGGTGCAGTACTTTGTGGACCTTGAACTGCTACTTTGTGGACCTTGCAATGCACATTTCGTGGCAGGCGCAGGACTTTGTCGATGTTGAAGTGCGGATTTCGTGGCAGGCGCAGGACTTTGTGGATGTTGAAGTGCAGATTTGGTGGCAGGTGCAGGACTTTGTGGGACTTGGAGTGCAGATTTCGTTGCAGGCGCAGGACTTTGTAGACCTTGCAATGCACATGTCGTGGCAGGTGCAGTACTTTGTGGACCTTGAAATTCACATTTCGTGGCAGGCGCAGGACTTTGTCGATGTTGAAGTGCGGATTTCGTGGCAGGCGCAGGACTTTGTGGATGTTGAAGTGCAGATTTGGTGGCAGGTGCAGGACTTTGTGGGACTTGGAGTGCAGATTTCGTTGCAGGCGCAGGACTTTGTAGACCTTGCAATGCACATGTCGTGGCAGGTGCAGTACTTTGTGGACCTTGAAATTCACATTTCGTGGCAGGCGCAGGACTTTGTCGATGTTGAAGTGCGGATTTCGTGGCAGGTGCAGGACTTTGTGGATGTTGAAGTGCAGATTTGGTGGCAGGTGCAGGACTTTGTGGGACTTGGAGCGCAGATTTCGTGGCAGGCGCAGGACTTTGTAGACCTTGAAGTGCAGATTTCGTGGCAGGTGCAGTGCTTTGCGGGCCTTGAAGTGCCGATTTCGATTTCGTGGCAGGTGAAGGACTTTGTGGATGTTGAAGTGCAGATAGATAGATAGGAAAGAAATAAAGATAGAAAGAAAGATAGAAAGATAGATAGATCGAGAGATAGATAAATAGATATAGACAGACAAATGGATAGGTAGACAGATTTGCATTGGAATAGTGTATCCAAGACGAAGTCGCGATCGTTCAGAGGCACCGCCCTTCCCGGCAACAGGAGCTTGGGAACGGACGGCCACGCGAACGCTTCGTTGCCGTCGTCGACGAGCGCATTGCCATCCAGCTGTTTCTGCATGAACGTCAAAAGTTCTTCCGTAGTCAGAGACGACGGAGATCGCCCCCTCAGATCCAACGCGGCAGACGCCTTTTCGGCCACGGCACCTGCGGTCTCTCCCGAGTGCACCTTGGCGATCACAATGAAAAAAACCCGAGATATTCACCAAACATGCTTTGCAAAAACACGTGCAAACACTTCTGCACGCCACAAAAACGCACATACAACGGACACTCGAGCCTGCATGGAGAACCGCCGTCTTCGAGCCGCTGAGCGTCTTCACCTTCAGCTGACTCTTGCGCACGCTCATGGTCATTACGCCCGTCTACAGAGCTTTGAACTAGCTTTGAGCGAATGCGTGGAATTCGAGCCTATAAGAACAGCGGCAGAAGTGTAGCGCTGCAGGCATCTGCGTAACCACTAGTGACTGTCATATTATTCTACTGCGTCCTGTTGACATAATAAAATCATACTCTCGGCATGCACGCCTTCGTTTTTACGGCATCTCATCTCCGTTTCAAAGCCCGAGCTTTGCCTTGCTGCGTTGAAACCCCCGGTAACATTCTATCAACAAAGGGTCCAAGTGCGTGCCGGGCTGAAGCACGACGGTCGTCGCTTCCTCGCTCTGCCGCCCTTCTTCATCGAGCGCTTCTTCCAAGACGAAGTCGCGATCGTTCAGAGGGCATGGGAACGGACGGCCACGCGAACGCTTCGTTGCCGTCGTCGACGAGTGCATTGCCATCCAGCTGTTTCTGCATGAACGTCAAAAGTTCTTCCGTAGTCAGAGACGACGGAGATCGCCCCCTCAGATCCAACGCGGCAGACGCCTTTTCGGCCACGGCACCTGCGGTCTCTCCCGAGTGCACCTTGGCGATCACAATGAAAAAAAACCGAGATATTCACCAAACATGCTTTGCAAAAACACGCGCAAACACTTCTGCACGCCACAAAAACGCACATACAACAGACACTCGGGCCTGGAGAACTGCCGTCTTCGAGCCGCTGAGCGTCTTCACCTTCAGCTGACTCTTGCGCACGCTCATGGTCATTACGCCCGTCTACAGAGCTTTGAACTATAGCTTTGAGCGAATGTGTGGCTGCTGTCGACGACGCAAAGAATTAGCTCATCTAAATCGAGGGAAACCGAGAAAATACAGGCGGTGGACGTTTCGTTTTCTAATCTTCAATTTGCTCCATCTGAAGATGATATTGCATGTTCTGATCGATGCGCGGTGGTTCCTCTCGTATCGCTTTGGAATCTGAATATAGTAACTAGCCCGCATAAGTTCCCGGGTTTCTTCCCCTCGCGGCTGCGATGCCGATGCCTCCAACCGGTACTTGCGATTCCCCGAGTAGTGCAGGCGCACAAATCCGTGTCGAAGCAGGTGGTTGCACCGGAACTCCGCAAACACGCGCCGAGCCCAAAAGTCGTCCAAGTTCTTCACCGTCAGCTCAGAGCACGGAGCCAGGATGTAGCAATTCTCGATGGGATGCGGCGCCCCGCGTTGCAGGCTCGTGAACTTGCAAGCCAGGAGGTTCGCCAGCGGATTCACGCAGGCACCCCGCGGATGCCCCCCTTGGCGTCACATCTTCCTCTTCGGTGTCGCTATGTGCCGGACGCGCGTACTTCTCGGGGGCGGGCAACTCCAACGTCATCTGCCGCACCCGCAGCCATGCGACCGCGGTGCGATACCGTCTGGCGCGCGCCACCGCGGTGGCCTCGCTGGTCGACGCCCTTGAAGACGGTGTCATCAGTGTCAGACCCACGGTGCGAGCCCACGCTGCCGGCAACAGCTTCTTCGCCATCGATCGGTTCAGGACCAACGGATCCCAGGCCGGGCTGTTCTCCTTCAAGAGTCGATGCATGTTGCGGCTACACCGCAACATGCCGACCTTCGTCCTTGCGTCGACGAAGCCCAGCACGCCCGCGCGAGTGTCGCATCCCAGGGGGCCGATTAAACGCGGCGCTGGGCGCGGCTCTCTTTGCAGCGCTCTTTTGGTGGAAACGTGTGGAGCTGGTACGGCCGTCCTCTTTCGACAATGATTTGCAGATGTGACAATTGCCAGAGGAGGAGCAGTGGCGATTATTGCGGGAGGAGTAGCCGTTTTGCGGACGGCAATGGTAACAGGAGGAGCGGCAACCGCGGCATTGGACTCGCGAGGCCGAGGAGCGGCAACCGCGGCATTGGACTCGCGAGGCCAGCCACTTGGCCACTGCCTCAGCACCTGCAGCTGAGCCTCCAGTACGCTCTTCTGCATATTTGCCTGAACCAAAGCGCCCCTGCCTGCTTCTAACAGATATCTGTCCACGGCCTCCAACTCGCGCTGCAATAGCATTTGCTCCAATGCGATCTCGCTCAAACCATCTGCACCTGACGAACCGTATCCTGCGGCACGGGTCTCCAACATCCTCTTTTGGAGGGCGGCATAGTGTTTCGAAACGCGCCACATCTTGTCGCTGTTCTTCTCGCACGCGCCGTCAGCCTCTTTCACCAATGCGATGCAGGCATCTCGCTTTGCCTCGGCAAGCGCCTTACGCAACACAAACATGGCGCCGAAATAGGCAGATTTGAGATGCTGTTAAATATAGGCTGCGGGCGGATGCGTGCGTGGATCCTACTTGGTGGTTCCGTTTTGGCTAGGGAACTTGTAAGTATCTTGTAAGTGGTTGGTAACTTAGTTACGAAGGGGTTACAAGTTCTGTAACTAGCACAAGTTTTTATGTTAAGATGTGGCACTTGCAAGTTAGTTAGCAAAAGATTGAAATTTCTAAGTTCTATATCTAGATTATCAAAAATTAGTCAAAAATAAGTTATAACTAACTTAGGGAACTTAACTTTTTTGAGATATCAAAGTTCAAGTTTTAACATTTATACAAAAACTGATTAAATCGTGTCTTTTTGCACTTTGATTCTTAAACTTGAAATCGAGTTCATGCTCCGATCGCATGTTCATCACGCAGCTCACTGAGCCGCATGCCGTCTTGTCATGGTCATGGCTGATTCATGATGGATGTTGCTCCTGTACAAATAAAAACACGCGGCTCATTGAGCCGCAGGTTGTGTCTCACGCAAAAATATGTGTATATATATATATATGTATATATACCGTGTGCCATCTTGATCATGGCTGATGATGGGTGTCGCTCTTGTTTCAAAATAGACGACAAATGAAAAGCCTAAGAGACAAATGAAAAGAAGTGGGAGACAAGCCAGCCGGGAACCCGACCACAAGCACCCAGCCTGGGAGACAATGAAAAGAAGTGGGAAACAAATGAAAAGAAGTGGGAGACAAACGAAAGGAAGTGGCCTGGGAGACAAATGAAAAGAACTGGGAGACACATGAAAGGAAGTGGGAAACAAGCCAGCCGGGAACCCGACCACAAGCACCCAGCCTGGGAGACAAGACCACTGCAGCGAAGAATCCAAAGTGTGCCCAGACTGCCTGGCCAAGCACCTGCTGTTGGCCGAAGCCTTTTGCCACGAGGCCGAGCCTCTCGTGGCACCGCGATCCTACGTCCGCAGTCGTCGAGCCCTAGAACGGCTGCGGGAGGCTTTGGAAAGGGGTGACCATTAGCCAAAGATATGCAAGAACTAGCACAACGAGCGAGACGCGCGCTGCCATATATGATGAGCCCCCCCCCTTTTTCTCTCGCGCACACATCTGCTTCGATCGACCGTCGCGCTACCTACCGACCTTGGACTATCACGTCTCGGTGGCTCTCGAACATGTGCTTCGCTAGCTCGCGTCGGACGTCGCCCTTCTGCACCTTCTTGCTCTTCCAGCACACTGGGCACCGAAGCTCGACCTGCCCGTCGCGGTTCTTCTCCTTTTGCTTCTTCTCGGAAACGAGTCTGCGATGTCCGCGACGCCGATCGCATCGGTGGTGATCGCAATGATGGCGGCGGCGCTTCGCCGGAGGAGGGGCTTCTTCTTCCCCTTTGGCTTCTT